AGTTTGGAGGATTCCTGGTTAGTTTATTTTCTGTCTTCTTTCTCCTCCCTCTCCTTGTCTTCCTCCTTCAGTAACTCATTAGTTATAGTTTTTGACCCTACTAGGATCAAAATTAAGGTCCCAGAAAGTTTTTCTTTCCCCTCAGTAATTTAGATTGGTTTGTGGCAAATGCATGGTGCTATCTTTTGCTTTTCAAATGTGACAAAAAAAACTTTCTTTAGCTGTGTAGGAAGGAATCAAATTATTGGTTGACAGTCCTGGCTCTGGGCTAAGAGAATAAAGACCTATTTTAATTGCTTTATTGAGGGGCTTGCCAGAGTTTTATAGGAAAAGCAAAGCATAAAATTAAGCAATTGAGTAACATTACAAGGACACAGCAGTGGTAGACAACTACGCCAGAATTCCTATTGTACTTTAAAAACTAAATGCTGGCAGCAAAAATTCCTTTGAGTCATTTTTCTCTAAATTCAGATTCAGGAAGTACACTCTTAAAATAAGTTCATTTTTGGAGTTCCATCTTAATTATAGCTTCAGGCCAAAAGACAGATTTCACCAAGTAGAATTGCCCTGCGTTTCACATAGGACCACATTTGAGCAAAACCTGTTTGTGTGTGTGTGTGTGTGTGTGTGTGTGTGTGTGTGTGTGTGTGTTGATTGTTGCTGACAGAAACAGGTTCAGTAATTAGGAGCAAGAACTACCAGGATTAGCTTTCAATTTAAAAAAGATTAAATATGGAACTTATAAAATAACTGTCATAAAAGCATTTTATTTCAAGCAAATTTTATAAGCAAAATTTCTAGGCAACAATTAAGTTGTATTTTACATACTGACATAAAACATTATTGTAAATAAAATAGGCTTTCCTCTCTTGAAAGCCAAAACATTAAAATTAAGAACCAAAACAACAACAAAAATATGAAATAAGTAATAAACACAAATCAATGAATAGATCATGGTTAAATAGGATGTATTTACCTTAAATCAGATTTTAATGTATTCCATATATTCAAAATGAAAAATGAGGAAGTCATTATTGATTTATAAATAGACTTGTTGCAGGTTTCATTTGAATTGCTGCCTTTTGATTACTGTTAATGTAGTATCAGTTTTCAAAAATCATTCAGAGAAACATGCCTTTTGAATTCATACTGTGTAAACTGGTTGCTTTTGAATGCACAGCACTGTGATCAGTGCTAAAGGAGTACAAAATAAAGCTAGAGTTTCCTTCAGAAGCTTATAATTTCACTAAGAAGACAAAACAGGCATTCAAGGATCCAGTTAATGAAGAGCACACGACAAAGAGTGTTTCCGTAGCTAGAAGGCCTGTGTACACTAAGGGTCATTGGGATCTACAGGTCACAGCTACCTCATGGTCCAGGTGGAGGGAAGCCACAGTTGGATTTTGAGCAATGTTGGATTAGAATATGTGCAAGAGAATGGGGAGGATGAAGAGAGGCTGTGGGAAGTGACCAGTGAATGAAAACCTTAACGACCGTAATGAGTAGAGAAGAGCAGAGACTAGCTTTTCTGATGCTGAAGGACCAGCTTGGAGAAAATGTCATGCGCAGGGTGCTATTGCTATTCCACAAAGGGGAGAAACCTGGGCAGATAGAAAAGGACCGTGTGAGTAACCCTGAGAACAGAAAGGGGTGTGAAATTACATTTTAACATTTTAGAAGTGGTCCTTTAGGACTCAGGAGAAAAAGGAGGAAAGAGCAGGTTTGGAAAAGAGAATCTGATTTTAGAACTAGAGTAAGAGAAGTTGTCCTAGAAATCCCTGTCTCTCTCCTCTACCTTTTTCTTGTTGTTGTTGTTTTCTGAGACAAGGTCTTATTCTGTCACCCAGGCTAGTGTGTACTGGCACAATTTTAGCTCCCTGCAACCTCAACCTCTCAGGCTCAAGTTATCCTCCCACCTCAGCCTCCTGAGTGGCTGAGACTACAGGCATGCACCACTACTTTTGGGTAATTTTTAAATTTTTGGTTGTGATGAGGTCTTATTATATTGCCCATGCTGATCTCAAATTCCTGGGCTCAAGGGATCCTCTAACAGATGGCCTCCCGAAGTGCTGAGATTACAGATGTGAGACACCATGGCTGTCCTCTATTTCTTAATAGTAGCTTCACCCTAGTACATCAGCTAATTCATCTGTAAGACAATGTTAACTACTACCTAGTTCTTATCTTTACTGGAGGAAGTTTAATTTGAATGGATATACCAAATCAATGGTTTTTTTTGTTCAATCTGTATTCAGTGAGCAGTTGTGATATGCCAGTTATGTGTGAATTTGTCTATAACGGTGGATTTTGGGAAAATGAATAGGTCAATAAGGAAGATATTCTCCAAAACTCAAAATTTAAAGGTTGCAGAGGGATGCTAATCCAGCTAATGGTAAGATAGCCCTCCTGTGTTTGTATAGTTGTTTCTCTCTCTCTCTCACACACATACACACTCATTTTCCTTTTTTTAAAACTATACTTTAAGTTCTGAGGTACATGTGCAGACTGTGTAGGATTGCTACATAGGTATACACGTGCCATGGTGGTTTGCTGCATCCATCATTTTCTTATTCTATTTTATAACAATTTTCCCCTTATGCTGACTTTTAAAACTTATTGTCTTAAAAAATCGTATTGCGTGTGTTCCTATAAGCAGCTACCTCAAACACTTTTTGAGCAAGGCTGAAAATAAACAAAGTCAAAGTAAAAAAAAAAAAAAACCATTCCAACTCTGATGAATCAAACTCTTTTTGATCATATTTTCTTTAACCTTTATCTCTCTGAATACATAATTTATACATATTTATAGTCAGGGTGTTTGGGTAAAATAACCAAAAAAAAAAGATTTATCCTCTTTCAAAGAAGAGGGCTACAAAAGGATCGAAAAATACTTTGGAAGGCCCCAGGTCCAGGATCTTTGGTAGTGGACGCCTGAGTGGAGTGCAGCAATACAGTGCTCTCAATACAGTGCTTGAGAGCACACCTGTATTTAACCAAGGTGGGTTATGTGATAATCGGGAGGAGGCCTGGCCACATGCTGTCTGACTCATCCTCTCAAGCACACGTGTCAGTTTTTCCTACAGTTGGGACAACCTCCTTCGGAAGACAGAGCCTGACTATAACTTGCCTGGGCTGCAAGGCTCAACTTCTTCAGACAAAGGTATAGAAACTAAGAAGCACTGGGAGCCGGTGAGCCTTCAGTGAGCCACACCGGTGATAAAATCATGATTACGGGCAACCCCACCCCGCCACACACATGCTTTTCTCTGGTTTGGAACTGGAGCTTGCGCTTCTGTGCAGTGTCTGATTTCCCCCCAGACTCCCTAGCAGGCAACGGGGTCAATAACGGCATGTTAAAATGAAGCTGCTTTAACAGTTACTTTGTTTCCTTGCACTTTGTGTTCCAGGCTGGCATATGTAATCCTGTGATACACAGGAGTTTAGATTAGAGCTGGCCAGCATAATTTTTAGGATCCTTTTTGAGGGGAGATTGGCAAGAGATGGAAGAGAGCACAGAATGATTTTCAGAATGATTTTTAATCATTTCTCTACAATGACTAGCTCTGTGACCACAGGCAGTTTAGCTTCCCAGGGCCTCAGTTTCCTCATCTTTGAGTATGTCTGCGTTCTTCTCAAGGCTGTGATTATCACCAGGGTGAGGAATGCAAATGGCACAGTGCTCGATCTAAGCAGTGCGTGGCTAATAGCCATTTGCTGATAGCTACGAGGTAGGGAACAACCTGGTTGTAGCTGACATCACAATGAAGGGACTCTTCTTACTAATATGGATAAAGCTTCCCCTGTATCTGCCTTCCTCCTAGTAACACTGACTAAAATGTAATGCTGACTGTCCAGATCACAAAGAAGACTTTTCTGCAGAAGCCAAACAAGGCCATTGTTTGCATGCCGCATGTGCTAAGTCTCAATGTTGATATTCCCCAATCTAACTTCCTGGCAAATATTGTTCGACTCAGGGAACTGAGTTAACAGATACTGAACATACGGCTATAGAGTACCTTCACTTATCAGTGGGCCAAGAAAAAAATGCCAGGAACCCAATTATATTTGAATGAGATTAAATATCTATGCTTTGATCCACCTCTGTTGATAGAGTTATAGGAATTTAATTCTTGGAAGGACTGGTTCCTGAAGGCCCACTGGGCAGCTTTAGAACTGCATTACCTTGTGAAAGTGTTGTAACTTCTGAGCGCCCTCACCAGTGTGTTAATTTGAACCATAATTCCTGCCTCCTCCTTTCCAGGACTCAGCTGCAGTTCATCTGTATGTATGCAGGCTCTTTGTAAATAGTAAAACTCTACAAACATAAATGTAAGTCATTATTATTATGCTTTTTATGCCTCCCGTAGGTGTTTGCTGGTCATGGACTGATTGACTTTTTCCAATATTATTATTCCTATGTAACTGATCTCTTGAAATGTCTACCATCTCCACCTATAAAGGACTTTAAATTTTAGGGAGTAAAATCACTTCTCTTGCTATTCTGGTTATCATTACTCATGATTAGGCAGAATTCTGCTGGCTAAGATATGATTCCAGGGAGATCTAAGAAGAGTCCTTCTGTGTGCTTCCTTCCCAAATATATTCCTGACAGACTTGCTAATAATGAAAAGTTCCAAAACTGGGAATTCACTTCATTGTCACTATTCTAATGGAATTACACTTTAAGCTGTACCATTCATATATACGTTATTATGAACTGAGTTCCTCTAATCATTTTAATAGGTTTTCAGCAGAGGGAAGGAAATTGAACATGAGCTAATGGTGGGGACCAAAGTCTCAGAGAACGAGAACTCTGCAACTGCTGATTTGAGAATTTTTCTCTGTGTAGCTGGTGAAATGTTTCAATGATATCCAATGATTAATGTTTGCTTAATTCTCAAGGTGACCAAAAATCATGCAAAATTATCTAGCAATAACTCCTCTCTACATAAGAGCCAAAGCTCTTGGGGTTGAGGAAAGAGAAGAGAAATAGGTCTTACCCAGCAGGTCTTGTGTCTTCAATGGCTCTATCCACTGGGATCAAATCGCTAAGGTAGACATTGAAGTTTCCTTCTTTCCATCTTCTTTCTGCCTCCTTCTCCTTTCCATGGGGGACAACTACAGGGCGCCCAAACTGCCCTGGAGCTTTGGGGTCCCTTGGAGAAAGCGTCACATCAATTCTTAACACCTGGTGCATCCCATGGTCTTCAGGTAAAAGGGCCTTTATATAACTCTGGTTGTATTCTCTAGGGGGGGCCTTGGCAGTTACGTTGATTTTTGCTGGCTCTAGCCCCCCAGCTAAAGCGTGGTTAGTTTGGGACAGTGGTAGTCTATGTGGAGCAAGTGAAGAGAAAGACATCTCACTTCTATTCCTGGAAATATGTTTACCTTGGCTTTTACCCAGTATGTTAGGAAATATAATTTTGGTTTTAGGATTGGAGACTTCTTTGGGTTCTGTCTTTTGCTCTTCCTCCTTGGTTATAATCACAATGTGGCTTTCAGAGAAATTGAGTTTCTTTCCATGAGCCCCTCCAGCTCTGTCATTCTTTGACGAGCTTCCCAAAGGTGTCTCATTAATAGATTGCTTCCTTAAGTGATTTGAATTGACAATGAACTTAGAAAAAGGAAGACTCTTATTGACTTTGTGTTTATTTGCATTTACTTCTTTGCTCTGAGTCTCAGTTTTGTTTAAGGCTATGACTTCCCCAGACTTCGGCACTGGTGTGCTGGCAGGGTGTGTCCTCTCTTTTGCTACTGCCTGTGATCGCTGCTTTGGTCTGTCAGTACTAAGACGGATGGTCACATTCAAGTCCCTTTCAGCTGCTAGTTTTGATGTGTCACTGCTAGGGCTATGACTCTTCAGGGCCTCCTGTTTTAAACTGAGGGGTCCCACGTGTACTGATGTTGTAACTAATGGTGTTCCTTTTGCTGCTAGGAGTGAGGTTTTTGGAGCTCCCTGAGCTGTTGTTTGCTTTGGTGTCCCCTGGTGAGAGGAGGCTTCAGGTTTGATGCCCCTCCCTTCTGTCTTCTTCTTGTTAGGAGTCATGGGGAGGGTCTGCAGATGTGCAGGATGCCACAATGGCACAACCTTGCCCCTTCCCAGGGCATTCTGCATTTTTCTTTCCCTCTGGGTTTGGTCCAGGTCAACCTCAACCTTGAGCACACTCCCCTCAGTTTTTCTAAAGTTCTCTTTGCCCCATGCCCCTTTCCCATGTCCCTTTAGGGGAGGTTTCATCTCTTTTTTGCTGCTGTAAAAAATTTTCACTTGGTCTGGCTGAACTCTGAATCCTAACCGCTCCCTCCTCACGATGTCTTCCTTGATGACCCGAGTGTTGATCTCGCTGAATGAGAGGCGGAGAGCTGCCATGTCAAAGAGCAGCCAGATGACAGAAGCTATAAAGATAAATGCCAAGACTCGCCCACTTCCTCGGAAAAACTTTCGGATCCTGTTCATGGTACAAAGTTTTCGCTTGCAGCCTGCCCTCCTTTAGCCTGCTTACCTTGAGTGGAGAGGGAGCTGAAGTAGCAGCAGCAGTGGCAGCAGCGGCAGCAGAGTTGCCAGAAAGTGACCCCCTCCCCTGAACACAGCAGGAAGCAGCCGTCCAAGGGGAAAGCTCAGCTCCTACCGCTTGTCAGTTTCTGCCTGCGTGGCATTTCACAGCAGAGCATCTGTGCCTGCTTGGCTGGCCCTGGCTAAGTTCTGGTAAACACTGGCCTTAGGTCACTCCAGGAGCAGTTGATTCCAGCCACCAACCAGTTCAACATATCACTTGTCTGGTCCCCAAGAGCCAATGTCCACCTTCCTACAAGCCCAAGAAAAGGTGGGGGCCAGATTGAGGCTGCTGTTTCTCTCCTCCCCGTTCTCCGTCTGCCCGCTGTAACTCAACACTACTTCTCATAAGGAAAACATTTCAAGTCATTACCCAGAAAACTTCATTCAGCTCTCACCTTCTGTGTTATGTGAGAGCGTGTGTGTTAAGGGCAATTAAAAAGGAAAAAAAGCTATCTAACTTGGAGGGCATGTGTTCCTGGTTTGTAACCCCACCTACCCTACTCCTGCTCATTAACCCTGTTGTACCCAGGTGCCAAAGCTCTGCTGAGGAATTCATCACTGAAGTTAATGTAACAGCTTAAAGAAGGGGCTCAGTATACCCTCCTCACTTCCAGAGACATATATGTTTAGTTATTTACAGCCTTCTTTCAGGGGGTTTCAATGTATTTCTTTGTAAGCCAACTACTTTTTTTTTTGGTGAATCCATCTGTTTTTATTATTATATTCAATAAACATAAACTTAATTTGTCATATTGCTACAAAAAGTTTCTAAGCACTTTGTTATGGTCTGAATGTTTATGTCCACCCAAAATTCATATGTTGAAACCTAATCATGAATGTAATAGTATTAGGAGGTAGGGCTTTTGAAGGTGATTCGATTATAAGGATAGAACCCTCATGAATGAGATCAGTACCCTTAAAAAAGAGACCCCACTGTTTTGCCACTCCACAAAATGAGAGTATAATGAGAAGGTCCCATCTATGAACCAGGAAATGGGCTTTCACCAGACTATGAATCTGCTGGTGCCTTGATTTCTGATTTCACAGTCTCCAGAACTGTGAGAAACAAATTTCTATTGCTTATCAGTCACATAGTCTATGGTATTTTTCTACAGTAGCCTGAACAGATTAAGACACACCCTCGGTTTCACTACTTATCTCGTCATGAACCAGCAAGAAACAGTTTGAGGACCACACCAGGATTGGACCAGATTTTGAGTGATGCTGGTTGACTGGGAGCTTAGTCATCCCAAAACTCTGATCAATTGATGAGAAAGGAGGTGGAGATGACAGTGTATTAAAAATACATATTTTTTTAACAAAGCTTCCTAGGTCTTTCAAATGTGCAGTTAAAGTTGAGAAACACTGGTTTAGAAAAAGATGTCTTAATATTATTATTATTTGGTTTTTATAACACTGCCCATGGGACACTTAATTTTAGGTGTCTACTTGACTGGACTAAGGAACACCCAGAGAACTGGTAAAGCATTATTTGTAGGTATGTCTGTGAGGGTGGAACAGAAGAGACTGGCATTTGACTTAGAGCAGTGAGTGGAGAAGAGATGCCCTCACCCAATGTGGGTAGGCATCGCTATTTGGTTGAGGGCCCAGACAGAATAAAAAGGCAGAGGAAAGGTGGATTCTCTCTCTCTTGGTGAGCTAGGACATCTTTCTTCTGCCTTTAGACAAGAACTTTAGGTTCTCTGGCTTTGGACTCTGGGGCTTGTACCAGTCTGCCCCCCAGAACCTCGCATTTCCCCATAGATTCTCAGGCCTTTGGCCTTGGATTGAGACTGATGCTATTGGCTTCCCTGGTTCTCAGGCCTTTGGACTCAGAATGTACCATGTTTCTGGCTTTCCTTGTTCTCCAGCTTGCAGGTGGCCTGGCCTGAGGTTTCTCAGCTTCTATAACCACATGAGTCAATTCCTCTAATAAACTGCCTCTGATTTATCTATCTCTATGAATCCTATTGGTTATGTTTCTCTGAAAAATACTGGCTAATACAGTCTACAACTTGTGTGACATTCCTTCCCTGACAAATAAAGTACAGTCTAATAAAAACTATGCATTCCCAGAACACCTGAATCAGAATATACACTTTGACGTTGCCAGTTATAAAGATTGTCTATAGAGTTGAAGAAGCACTGCTCAGGACAACTCTCCTCCTCTCTGAGGAACTCTGAGTGATTTGTAGACAACACTGCTATTCATTTCTCTAGTGTGTGTGGGGGGGTCTAGCTCCCTGTTTTGAGGTAAACTTAGGTTCCTAATGGCTTAGGAGGGGAAGGAGAGATTCCAATTCTTTATACTTATGCATTTGGCCTTTGCACCACGGGAGGGAATGCAGATAAATGCAGCTATGGTAACATGTTTGCTGAGTCCCTGATTCTCCTTTCTGTTCAGTGCCTGCTCACTTCAACTTGGAATATCCACATGGATGGCAGCATCTATGGCTCACCTATTTCCTGTGTACATCCCTCTCTCAACTTATCCATCATTCCAATATCTATCAGGCACATTCCACAGATCGGGCCATGTGTTGGGTGTTGAGGGACCCTAAGTGAAAGGACATAGTTCTTGTGCTTGAGGACCTCACAGATTATTGATGGACACAGACAGGTAGGCATATGTTATATGTTCCAATATGTAATAAGTAATTTGGGAGAAATAATATACTGGATTCTGTGGGGACAGAGAGTTTTGGGAGGCATAGATGACTTTTGGATAAGCTATTCTTAGACTTGAAAACTTAATAAGACAATAATTACCTTCACCCATATTGTAGTCTGAGAAAATCAGTATTAGTTAGACGGTGAGAGGCAGATAAATTAGCAAAAGCGTAGAAATGAAGAGAGAGCATAGTACCTTAGGAGAGTCCCAAGTTTTTGAGAACTAGCATGACTGGAAACACAGGCTTTAGTGTTTTTCTGCATACATTTATGTTTGTGTGTGTATATATATATATAAATATATGTGTGTGTGTATATATATATGTGTGTATATATGTGTGTGTGTGTGTGTGTGTGTGTGTGTGTCTCAAGCACTTTGCTAAGTTCTTTCCATTGACTATATCACTCAATCCTCACAAGAATCTAATGGGAAGGAGAAAATTACAATTTGTAGTCAGCAAATGAAACCTTAGAGAGGTAAAGCAACAGTAGAGATTTGAGGAGTTGGGTCTCAAATACACGACTGTACGATACTGTAGTCCCTGTGTTTAAATATCATGCAGTACTGCTTCTCTAGCTGTACGACCTTGCAGGCTAGATAATTTTCTGTGGCTACTAAGCAATAAAAAACCTTGTGCTTTGCAGGTTAATGTGAGAATATGTAAAAATGGTTCAAGTTATTGTTATATTGAAGTTACTCTGTAAATATTGGCCACTACCATTCATATTGTTGCTAATACTTTGCTGTAATAGGAGTGTCAGGTGCATGTCAGTGGCAATATACCAGCTCTTCCCAAAAACAAGTAGAAAACTAGTGACTAACGTGATGCTTGCAATGGGGAAGAAATATATCTGATTATTTTGTTTTGTTCTTGCTATTCTTATTTCCTTTAATTGTAGATTTAACCAATGACAGTTGTTCACTGAGAACTCACTACATGCCCAAAACATGAAGTAGGTGACGTTGTCTCTGCCCCCAACAACCTTAAAACTCACCTCAGTAGAACACCATGAGCAAAAGACAGCACACATATTTAGCGTCCACATTCCAAAATAAAGTGAGAATTTTTTTAGTATCATGGAAAAATGGCTTGCATTATAATATTGTTTTAAACATGAAAATAGAATGCTTTAAAATTATTTTACTTGCATAATTTAATCTTGTCCAGCCACCATCCCACCCCAAATGGCAGTTGGAATTACTCAAATATCTTTTGGGAAAGTCAACACTTGTTATATTCTATGCTTGACCGTTTAAAACACTGCTTGAAATATATTCTTGTTTCCATATAAGTTTTGTCAGAGAGTACTGATTTCTTTTTATCCCTCCTGGGGATTTCCTTTTTATCCCTCTTGTGAATCAAAACACAAATTACTTGCAACAGGAGAGCAACATGTCAAGAAAATTAAAAGGCAATCTTGGCTTATCTATCATGGGTAAAGCAACATGTTAATCTGTCTTAGTCTCCAATCTATCTGACATACAATTCAGAATGAGATGGGAAGAATAGGTAACAGAGTAGGGAAACATTGGTTAAATATCCTAGAAATGAAGGAGTAGATTGGGTTGTCAGACCTGATCTGAAATACTGACTTGGCCACTAACAGCATATGATCATGTATGTGTCACGCATCACAAAGCTCGTGTAAGGCTCTCTTCCCAGCCTTTTTCTGGTCTTTTCCCTTGTGAGTTTATGATAATCCATGATAATGGTAGAAGTGTATTAGAAGCCATACCAGTGACTCAACACTATGGGTCTTCGGGGACTCAGTAACAATTTCTGTGGCCCCTATAGCTGTACATCATTCCCTGTTTTCTTCTCTTTTCTGACACACATGCTGTTTCACATCTCAGATCAATGAATTGTGCAGGTTAAAAGGAATAGAAAAAAAATGATACTAGGAAGTTCTACCTTTTCATTAACAGGCATATTGCCCAGCACATGGCCCTTCTATATTGGTAAATGATGGTGCTTCTAAAATTTTAGTTGGATTAATTTTTATGTTACCAGCAGGAAACTAAATATGTAAGTGGGTTGTTTATTTGAGGTACCCTACAGTAAGGGAGCCTGGCTTTTCATCCCAAGTGGTAGAATGCGAGTAGCTTTGGCTGGTCAAATTTCTCAAGAATCTGCACATACTTAGTTGGAGATGATATCCGTTTGAAAATCTAGAGTTATGAATTAGCCTTAGGAGACATTTGGAGACATTTGGTTTATTCCGATTATCAGTCTGACTCCAGCTTGTAGTAAAAATTTAAAAACAGACTTTAGTTTCTTCTTCTGTAAAATGGGTACAATAGTAGGAGGACTTGCCCTCTATTCTGTTTGGTTGTTGTCAGGGTACGCATATTAAGAGCAACCATTCATTGGGAATTTACTGAGGGCCTTCCACAGGTCACTTGACATTATCTCATTTAATCCTCAACATTTGATTTTCACAGACTAGATCATAAACTGTCCAGCAAAACAGATCTTCATAAACTTAAAGTGAAAAGTATATCTGTGTTACATTCTCGTGGCAGATATCTTTGAATCATCCTTATTGTTAATCAAGTAGGAGCTTAGTAAACAGTTTTATATCTAACGTTAAATCTCCGTGATGGGAATACAAAATCTTAGAAATACCGGTTCCAGCTCTCTGGCTTTGCATCTAAAGTTGCTTTCTCTGGATATTTGAAAGTTTCTTGGCTATATGAGCATATCCTGAGTAACTAATATCTGTTTAAATTTATGAGATTTACTCAACTACCCACCTCTAAGTAAAAAGAAAGATGCAAAAGGGAAATTAATTTAAGCATCTATTTCACAGAGAATAATTATTATCCATAGATGCATCACTGAATTTCTTTTTTTCCCAGTTTTGCTGACTGGGAAATTAAAATTGTATATATTAAATGTTTAAGGTATACAACATGATTTTTGATAACCTCATACATTGTGGTATGATTGAGTCAGTGAAGCTGATCTCCATCATCTCACATAATTACCTTTTTTGTGTGTGGTGAGAACATTTAAGATCTACTCTCTTACCATGTTTCAAGTATACAATATATTATTATAAACTATAGTCATCATGCTGT